TTAAGAGATAAATAGCATTACAATAATACTAGAAAAATTCAATATTCCAATTTCAGCAATGAATAAAATTATGCATAAAAATTTATGAAGTCTATTTAAAAAAACTATTAACTTAAACTTCGTTATGCAAACTAAATGGACTTAACAACCATTTTTAAGACATTTCTCCCAACAACAGCAAAACATAAATCCTTCTCAAGTACATACGAAACACTCTCCAGGATAGATGTTATGTTAGACTACCAAAGAAATCTAAATAAATTTAAGATTGGAATTGTCTCAGACATCTTTTCCAGCCACAATGGTATGAAATTAGAAATCAATTCATTATAAGAAAAAATAAAAAAATTCACAAATATATGAAAATTAAACAACATGCTACTGAACAACCAACAGGTCGCAGAAAAATTAAAAAAATATACCTTGAGATAAATAAAAATAGAAAAATAATGTACCAAAACTGATGGGATGCAGCAAAAGCAATTCTGAGAGACAAGTTCATAGCAAAAAGTACTTACTTACATTAAGAAGGAAGATCTCAGACAAACAACCAATCTTTACATCTCAAAGAACTAGAAAAAGAACAAACTAAGCCTGAAGTTAGTAGAAGGAAGGAAATAAAGACCAGAGTGAATATGAATGAAATAGAGACTTACATCTCACAAAACAGGAAAGATCAATAAAACTAAAAGCTGTTTTTTCTGAAATGGTAGACAAAATAAACAAATCTTTAACTAGACTTGCCAAGGAAAAAAAAAGGGGAGAGGATGGCTGGGACTCAGCAAAGGGAAGGACAGGGGAAATGGGGGGCCTCTGTCAGAGTGTCAACAATAAAAATAAAGTTCACAAAAGAAATTAAATGAACAAGGAGATTGATAACAAAAGATGAAGCTTATAAGAAACTATTATGCACAATTATATGTCATCAAATTGTTTTTTCATGCTTGCTTTCATATTTTCATCTTTCCCTCTTTTTCTGCCTTCTTGGGTTTTAATGGAGTATTTTATAGAATTCCATCCATCTTTTTTCCTCTGTTAGCACAGCAATCATACTTAAAAAACAGTTGAGTGGTTTCCCTAGAGTTCCCATTATACAGTTAGAAGTAACAAATCTATTTTCAAAGAACGCTGTTCTACTTCATGGGCACTTCAGGTGCCCCAGAGCATTCCCAATCCTCCCTACTTTCCACCAGGTGGCTGTTGCACATTTCACTGTCCATAAACTACCATCACTAAACACCTTATTGCTATTTTTATTTTTGAACAAAGAGTTATCTATTATACCAAATAAAAATAAGAATAACAAAACATTGTATTTTATCTTCATGTATCTCTAATGTTCTATATTTCTTTGCCTTTTATTCCTTTATGTGGATCCAAATTTCTGACTTACATCATTTTTTTTCTGAAGAACTTCTTTAAACATTTCTTGCATGGCAGGTTTTCTGGTGACAATTCTCTTATTTTTTGTTTGCCTGAGAATATTTTTATTTCTCCTTCATTTTTGAAAAACAGTTGCATTGCATACAGCATCCTAGGTTGAGGGGATTTCCCCCACTCAATGTTTAATAATTTTATTCCACTTTCTTCTTGCTTGCATAATTTGTAAAGTCTGTTATAAATTGTCTTTGATCTTCTATAGGCAAGTTTTTATTTCTTCTGTCTTCTTTCAAAACTCTGCCTTTGTTTTTTAATTGTGCTGTTTACATATTATATGCCTAGGTATAGATTATTTTGATGTTTATACTTTTTGGTGTTTCCTAATCTTCCAGGATTTGTGGCCTGGTATTTGTCATTATTTTTTGGAATATTCTCAGCCATTATTCACTTATTCCTTCTGTTCCTTTCTTTCCTTCTTCTTCTGGTGTTTCCTTTACACATTTGTTAAACCCTTGAAATTGCTGCATAGTTCTTGAATATTCTGTTTTGGTTTTTTTAAATTCTTTTATTCTCTTTTTCAGTTTGAGAAGTTTCTATTGACATATCTTCAGAGTCACTATAATCTTCCCAATCCTGTCCAGTCTGCTGATGAGCCCAAGGAAGGAACTCTTCATTCCTGTTATAGTATTTTGTATTTTTTCTTTCTAGAATTTACTTTGATGTTTTTTCTCTTAGAGCTTCCATTTCTCTGCTTACTTTTTTCTATCAGGGCCCCTAGCATATTAATCATAGTTATGTTCACAGTCTCATCATTCCAAAAATACCTGCCATATCTGACTTGGTTCTGATACCTATTTTGTCTTTTCAGCCTGTGCTTTTTCTTGCCTCTTAGAATGTCTTGTAATGTTCTAATGAGTGTATCGGGTAATAAGAAATCAGGCAGATAGGGCTTTTTGTAAGGTTTTTCGATTATCTGTCTAGGAATTAGGCTGTGATTAAAGTTCGTTGTAACTGTAGGTATCAGAGGCCTCATCTTACTGTGGTATCCCCATTTTGTCTTCACTATCGTCTTTGGGTTTCCTTAGAAACTCTTTATTGAATAGAGTGTGTCTTGTAGCTCTTTCAGTTGTAATTACCTGCCATTATATAATATATGTTGATGTGGTAGTATTGTAGGGAGGAAGTATTCTATACTCTCATGATTAAATCTTATGATTAAATCTCAGGTTTTTTCATGGGCTTGAGTCTCTAGACTGTGGCCTTCATAAGTTTTGCTTAGGTTTTCTTTTTTTTTCTTTCCCTCGTATGAGACAGGAAGGTTAGAGAAAGACCCACTTGTCTAATTGCCCTCTGTTCTAAAGTTTGGTACAGGAAACTCTGGTTGTTTCCCTAAAAAGCAGGGTTTTGTGACAGGGAGCAGACTTCTCTTGGGCATATTTCAAAATGGTTACATTCCCTCTCCCCCAATCCAAAACACAGGAGGATTTTTCTTCTTGCGAGAACCTGGTCAGGGCACCTAAATATAAGAGCCCTTAAAGTGGAGAGGGTTTCTTCCTAAGACTACATGTCCAAGAGTTATTAACTCTCCACTTAGTCCAAGCTCCACATCCAAAAATATTCAAATACTGTCTAATGTTCAGCACTGACACCTTCGGCTCCCAGTAAATTGCAATTGTCTCTATTGATCTATCTCTCCAGTTTGGGGGGCAGCAGTTTGCCCTGTGGTCTCAAGTCTCTGGAGAATCTAAGGACACTTATTAATCTGTAATTAGTTCAATTTTTTTTCTTGCTGTGACAAGTAACAATTTATATGCTCTTTGCTTATCAGAGTACAAACTAGAAGTGCTTTCTTTACTGTTTTTCACAACCCATACTAATATTAAAACCACTCTTTAGCTTGCAGACCATACAAAAACAGGCAGTAGTATAGGTAAACAGACCAGTATAGATACATATAGTGCAACTATATACACACCTAATACACGTACACATAGTTCATCCTTGAACAACACAGGGTTGGGTGATTAGAAGCTCCAACCCACACACAGTTGAAAATCTATGTATAACTTAAGTTGACCCATTGTATATGGGCATTCCCAAATGTGGGTCAAAAATACTATTTTCCATTCACGAGTGGGAATCTGCAGATGTGAAACCCAGGGACACAGAGTGCTGACTCTGTTATTTATTGAGAAAAATATACAGTCAGTCAACCCACGAGTTCAAACCCATGCTATTCAATATCTGGATCCCCTGTGGATCTGTTCTATTGTCTGTTTTGTCCCATAGCTTTTTGGCCATGTCCTTGGCTTGCCTGATAATTTATTTTTCATGCACATCTTTGCCTAAGCCAGTTTACAGCTCTGTGTATCATCTTTTGTTCAGAATGCAGGATGTCTCTTTCTGCTGCTAGATAGAGTGCTGGCTGATCACATCAACCCAACTAAAGACAGAATTAACTCCTGGATAGGCAATAGTGCTTTAGGGAAGGACCTCACTCTAGGTCTTAGCCTTTCAAATATATTGAGAACTTATATTCACCCAAGTTCCTCTCCCTAGTACATTCTAACCTCCCAGCACATTAACCTCTTATGTAAAGGCCATCATAATACTACTGAACATTTTCTCTGCTTCTACAAGACTCTGCTTGATTTTGGCCTCTTAGCTTCCTAATTCAGCAAATATACTGAGTGAAAACCCAACAGAGTGTCATCTCATTTGCTCACCTCTTTCTTTGATATCATACCCCACCCCATTCTCTAATTTTTCTCATAGATCTGTCAAAAATTTATATTGGTTTCTTTTTATCTTACTAGTGCTTTTTGCCCAAATCTTTTGTCCAGACTCTCAGTTTCTTGCCAATGTGCAGAATTAGCAAATATCCTCAGTTGGCCTGCAGGGTGGGGGTGGGCGACAGAAAGAAGCAGCAGAAAGTTGCTTCTCCTCTCAAAAGTGTGCCTTTCTCAGCATTTTGGCTTTTAAATTCCTAGTTATCTGAGCAACTTTTAAACAAATCTTTTAAAACTCTATTCAGCTTTTCTACTTATTCTCAGTGGGAGTGTTGATCTGCCATAAGTTACTCCATTGTAGCTGGAAGTGCAATTTCTTTACTTGTTTTACTTGTTCAGTCTGTTGGTGTCCAATTCCAGTTCTGTTCCCGTGTATTTAATGTCAGTCTCTGCCCAGTTCTTTGAATTTTGCATTTTTAGTTTAAAGGAGACATTACTCATACATACTTTCACATGTACTTCCGTTCCATTCTTTGATGTCTTTAAGAAAGCAGACATACCAATTCAGGAATACAAAGTAAGACTCGCTTTGTACAGATAGTACCGTTTCCACGTTGCTAACCACTTTCAGTACAAGAATTCTGCTTCTAGGTTTTAATCATTTCAAAGTGTTTTTTTCTTTATGTTTTGTGAATGCATAAGCAATCATATAGCAGGTATCGTTATAATATTTCTGTCCTTAATATGAAAGATTAAACTGTGCTTTATATGTCTGTGTTCCATAATTCTAAAAATGATAAGGATATAAAAGTTACTGGATAATTATTAACTGACTAACAAATTCATTGTAGAGTTTGGTAGTAAATATATAACATATAAAATTCTATTTACCCGCCATAATCTTCACTGATTCCAGCAAATGGTATGGGATTACAGTGTACAAAAATTGAAAGCACAACCAGTACAAGTGATATAGCAGATGTAACAATGACAAATCTCATATAGCCTTTACAATACATATGTAACTTGGAAACAATGAGACCTCCCAGAAACTCGCCAAATGCAGTTGCTGGAATTAAAACAAGCCCTAAAAAAATGGAGAAGAGAAAACAAAATTAAAAATAATCAACTCAAGATAGTACAGAAAATTCATACATTGATGTAATCCCCTCTGCTCTAAACATATAGCAAACATAGGTTTAAATAAAAAGACAGAGAGAGAATTTAAAGCCATGATAAATAACCCAACAAACCTAAACCTTACAATTAATACAAATTTGTGAGTGAGGCTGGCACTATCGGCCTAATGGATTTTACAGTAGAGCTGTTAAATTTAGCTCTTATGTGGTAATGATATCTAAGGTAAACCCAAAACTTAATCCATGCAAACTAGAAGATGAGAATTGTTTTATTGAGAGCTATTATTGGATAGCTGCCTGGATTAATGGTTTATAGCAAGAGGCATTCCCATAGTGAAAAGAATACATGGAGATTCGTTACCAAGAATTAGACCAAGTCACCCATTGATTCTGTGAATGTATGTGAAATATCAACAACCTCACAACAAAGAAATGTAATTAGAAAATAATCAATCAGATGAAGATAGCAGTCTCCTCTGCCCCAAACATATAGAAATAGTAGATTTAAATAGGAAAATAGGAAGAGAAATATAAGGTAAAAACAAATAAAAATCTTATTAACACCAGATTAAATTTATGTCATAAAATTTTCTGACACACTTGTAGATAATTTTAGAATGCTCAGGAAGATTAATGACAGTGTAATTTTCATAAAATAAAAACTAGAATAATAATAGAAAGTAATTAAAAATAAGAGCAGGTGGATTAAGGAAAGAACAAATAAGAAACCTAGATATTTAAAATTATAACTGTTAAAAAGAAAACTCAAATTCCAGACTAGAGACATCTAAAAATTGAATAAATTGGAAGAAGGCATTGTGTTATTCATCCAGTATATAATTTTTTTAAAAAAGTGATATTGCTTCAGTAATCCTAACCATTCTATCATACTAATGTAAGACCTTTAGAAAATGGAATCTAGGTGTATATATATAGAAACTCTAGCATTATCTTCAAATTTATTTTCCTTTAAACATAGAACAGTTCAAAAAATAAACTTTGTTTTAAAACACAGTGATGACAGGATAAAAAGCTCCACAAAATGTTTTACAGCAGTTGTGAGAAATACAATGACAGGTGTAAAAGAAAAACAATATTTGAAAAGCTATAACTGAGGATGAGGATTGTTCCATGATTCAAAAAATATTAGCCCTGGGAATAAAATTACACTTCAACTACTGAGGAGTACAAATTAAACAATTATATCTATCTCACACAAAAAATAAGCTAGGGACATTCATAACATCTAGAATAAAGCAAAAATTATAAGAGCTGCCCAAAAGCATGTTGCTTGCAAAATAATTTTAATTATAGCTGGTGTTTAAAAAGATAAAATTAGTAACCTAGACCAAACACATATGCACATGCACACACATGCTCCTGAAAAGTAGGGGTAGTGAGCTGTCAGTGGGGAGTTAAAATTTCCTAAACCAAACAAGGGTAATGAATAAAAAATATGACCATTGAGAACAGAAAAGATAGTAAGGAATAAAAGAAGAAAAATAGAATGGTAATAAGCAAATACAAATAAGTTAAAATTAATTAAAATTCACAATAATACTAAATAAGTAAAATTAAACTAGTAAAAACACTTTATTGAGTTTGATAGTTTTAAAAGCAAAGTTTGTAACCAAAATAGTGAAAAAATATGTATCATGAAAATAAATGACATTGTATAAAAATAAATTACTTAACTACCCAAATTTCAAGAAAATTAAAAATCCATAAACAAAGTACTATTTTAACTCAGCATCCTCATAGCAGACAGTTTATGACATTATTAAAGATATTAAAAATATTAATTGATTTGAACAGTGTTGTTTTAAAATAGAAACAAAAACACTTATTTAGCAACTAAAGATCTCAGCAATTCATGGATTAAATAAAAATGTGATGATGAAAATTAAAAATAGTTACAACTGAACAATAATAAAATTATACCTAAATGTATGACATTCTACTAAAGAAAATCTATAAATGATGATACTTCCATCATAGGGTTGTTGGGAGAATTAAATGAGTTAATATTTAGGTGCTTAGAACAGCATCTAGTCAGAGAGTAAACATCATACAAATGCTTGTAAAAAGGCAGACATTTACAGACAAATTCATTTATTAGAAGGCAAAAAAGTACAGAGGGGCAATATTTGTCCAGAAAATTCTGAGAATTGGAACTGAATCAGGAGACTTCAGAGGATAAGCAATAAGTATGCTTGTAAGGAAATCAAGAAGAAGCAAACCACATTTTACCCCAGATTCACAAAAGTTAAAGGCAGTAGGTACCAATGAAAACAGAGTGAGATAGAGGATTGGATGGCAGTCTATATAGAATGTTTGATCCTCAAAATTCCTATTCTCACCCACATGCCATATGATTGACCAAGAAGAAGAGCCTAGATTTATTTAATTTGAAAATGAGAACTGTAGGTCTGAGAAAACCAACTGCATCTCTAAGCAGAAAACTGAGAACCCTATTCAGGTAAGGAAACCACCAGCTGTCAGGCTTACTGCCCCAGGCCAGCGATTTTCAATCAGTATGCTGAGGCACACTGGTGTGCCACAATGATTTTTGAAACATGCAATACCTGACTAATTAGCCAGGGGCACTGACCTCTTTTCCCTTAGACTGTCAAATAAAAAAAAAATGACAACAGGTATCACAACAACAGCCATCAAGTGTGAATGAATCAAAATTATACCTATTTTTTTGTCAGACTGGCAAAAATATAATACATAATTGGTGTTGCCACAGAATTTTAGTAATTAATTTATGTGCCATGAGATGAGAAAGGTGAAAAACAGTACCCTAAGCAATAAGAAAATACTGGATACTGGGGGTCCAACAAGTAAAGACCTGTGTCCTTGAAAGACCACCCTAAAAGGAAACAAAACAGTTGAAAATTTAACTGCAATTTTCAGAACTTTCAATCAATTTTTATCTTAATAAATATTTTTATTAGTGTAGCAAAAAGTACACAAATCACAATTGTACATATTGATGAATTTTCAAAGTAAACACAACACATGTAACCACCACCAGGTCAAATACTGAACATTACCAAAAGATCTACAGGCTCTTTCATGCACTTACAAAATTTTATAAAATATGGACCTCAAAGTATGCATACATTATGGCTTCTTTCATTTGACATCATGCTTGAAAAATTCACCCATGTTTTTGTATAGAACAATAGATCATGTCTTATCATTGCTGAATAGAAATGTATATGCATACACCACAACTTATTTATTCACTATGATGTTGTGAATTGTGCTATTTTAAAATTTATGCACATGTCCTTTGGTGAACATATGCATTTCTGTTGGGCATATTCTGAAGAGAGGAAAGCATGTTGGGTATGTGATCAGGAGTGAAATTTCTGGGTTAGGGAATAGGTATATATTCAGATTTTTATGATACTACCAAACAGATTTATAAAATGCTAAATGAACTTTCATTCTCACCAGTAGTAGAAAAAATGCCAATATTTCATTCATAACAACATCTATCTCTCTTTTTCATCTTAGCCATTCTGATGAATGGGCAATAATAGTATTACAATATGGCATTTTTCTGAAAACCACTGAAGGGGAGCACATTTTCATATGAATACTGGCCAGTTGACAGCATCTTTTACGGAATGCCGGTTCAAGTCTTTTGTTCATTTTTATTGGATTATTTAAATTTTTATTATTGTCAAATACTTTTATATGTTTGCACATAAATCCTTTGTAGATTATTTCTATAACAAGATTATCTTGTTTGCATTTTCACTCTTTATGCTGACATTTAATGAGCAGGAATTCTTAATTTTAATGTAAAACCACTTATTTTTCTTTAGGGTTATGTGATCTATGTCCTATTTTTAAAAACTTTGTCTTTTCTAAGGCTATAAAGATCTTTCCCTATGCCTTATTCTGAAAAGCTTTATTGTTTTATCATTCGCATTTAGATCTACAATTCATCTAGAATTTGTATTTGTATATGAAGTGAAGAAAAGGTCAAGATTTATTTCTTTTTCATAAGGATATCTAAGTGACCTAATATCACTAATATCTAAGTAACTCAGTTTTTGTTTTATGCAATTTAAAATCATATTGTTGAGAGCATACACATGTATAACTCTATTACCTAGCTCACTAGTTGACTCTTCTTACATCATAAATGATTCCTTTATGTACTAAGTAATGCCTCTTGCTTTGAAAAATACTATATTTAAAATTACTATAGGTTTTTTCAGAGATCAAGCCCTTGTCTGAGGTATCATTGGCAAATATGTTTTCCCATACAGTTCATTCTCTTTTCATTTTAATGCTGTTTCTTTAGCCATGCAGAAGCTTTTGATGACATCCCATGTGTTTATTCTTTCCTTTATGCCCCTCGTCATAGGGGACATAACAGTGAAAATACCGCTGTGTGGAATGTGTGAGATTTTCCTGCCTATGTTTTTCTCTAGGACTTTTATACTATGCAGTAGAAAGAAAGAAGGAGCTCTACCCTTTGCAACAACATGGATGGAACTAGAGAACATTATGTTAAGTGAAATAAGCCAGGCAGTGAAAGACAAAGACCATAGGCTCTCACCTGCATGTGGAACCTAGTCAACAAAAAAAGTAAGCAAGCAAAATATAACCAGAGGCATTGAAATTATGAACAATCTAGCAGTAAACAGAGGGGAGATGGGAGGGGACAATGGGGGGAAAGAGGGGAGAGGATTTCAGGAACAGCTATAAAGGACACAATGGACAAAACCAAGGAGGAGGGGAGAGAAGTGGGATGGCTGGGGTGGGGGGTGCTTGGCAGAGGGAAAATTCAGACAACTGTACTTGAACAACAATCAAATAAAAAAAGTTACTATAGTTAACACCACCTTTTGTTTTGGTTAGTGTTCATATAATGCAACTTTTTCACCCTTTTACTTTCAACTTTTCATATCTTCACATTTAAGGAGTGCCTCTTATAAGTAATATAGTGGATTTCCCCTGCCAATCTGACAAACTTTATTTACATACACATCATTCCTAGTCTATTTAAGGTACTCACAACAGACTTGGGACTCACACAGACTCACTCCTTCTGGGTTCTACCGTCAGGGTAGCAGGGGTAAGGGCACCAGTGGCATGCAGGGAGAAACTGAAGTGACTGGCATCAGGATGAGTGACAGCTTCCTCCTGGAGACAGCTTTTTCCTGGACAAAACTCCAGAGGCCAGGCAGCAGCCATAGTCCTTTTCTGAGCCCTGCCACACTCAGAGACACAGAATGGCAACACCAGTTGCCCTGCCCTGGGAATGACCTAAGGCTCTGCCCCATCTAAGCTTTTCTACAATAGACCATGCTATTAGACAGGGTGTTAAAGCAGCTCTGCTTAATACACAGAAACAAACACAGGGAGGTTGCCAAAACGAAGAGACAAAGAAATATGGCCCAAATGAAAGAACAAAACAAAACTCTGGAAAAAGAACTAAACAAAAAGGACATAAGCAAACTATCAGATGCAGAGTTAAAAATACTGGATACAAAGATGCTCAAGGAACACACTGGGGTACTTTAACAACATAAAAAAGAACCAGGCAGAAATGAAGATTACACTAAGTGAAATAAAGAAAAATTTACAGGGAACCAACAGTGGAGGGGATGAAGCTGAGAATAAAATCAACAATTTGTAACACAGGGAGGAAAAAGCATTAAATCAGAACAGCAAGTAGAAAGAAGAGTTAAAAAAAAAAACAAAGATAGGCGAAGGAGCCTTTGGGACAACTTCAAACATACCAACATTCAAATCACAGGGAAGAAGAGAAAGAGCAAGAAATTGAAAACTTTTTGAAAAAATAGTGAAAGAAAACATCTTAATTTGGTGAAGGAAATAGACATACAAGTTCAGGAAGCACATACAGTCCCAAACAAGATGGACACAAAGAGGACCACACCAAGACACATCATAATTAAAATGCTAAAGGTTAAAGATAAAGAGAGAAATGTAAAAGCAGCAAGAGAAAAGCAGGTAGTCACCTACAAAGTGGTTCCCATAGGACTATAAGCTGATTTCTCAAAGGAAAGTTTGCAGGCTAGAAGGGACTGGAAAGAAATATTCAAAGTGATGAAAAGCAAGGAACCTACAACCTAGATTACTCCACCCAGCAAAAGTATCATTGCGAATAGAAAGGAAGAGAAAGTGCTTCCCAGACAAGGTAAAGCTAAAGGAGCTCATCATTACAAAGCAAATATTATATGAAATATTAGAGACTAACTTAAGAAAAGGAAGAAGATCAAGACTGTGAACATTAAAATGGAAATAAATTCACAACTAACAACAACTGAATCTAAAAAGCAAACTGGGAAATCAAGCAAAACAGAAACAGAATCACAGATATGGGGATCATTTTCAGGGTTATTAGTTGGGAGGGAGAAAAGGGAGAATGGGGGAAAAGGTACAGGGATTAAGAAGCATAATTGGTAGGTACAGAATAGACAGGGGGATATTAAGAACAGTATAGGAAATGGAGAAGCCAAAGAACTTATATGCATGACCCATGGAGGTGAACTAAGGGAGGGGAATTGCTGGAGGGAATGGGGGGTGCTGAATACAGAGGGACAAAGTGGGGAAAACTTGGACAACTGTAATAACATAATCAGTAAACTATATTTTAAAATGTTGATGCAATGATGGCAAATTGTTCATTTTTAAATTTTGAGCAAAGGGTATTTAGGTATTAAATATCTGAGCAAATACTATTACTCATCTACTTTCTCCTTTTTGAAATGTTTTATAAATACATATAAGGAAACTTTACATTAAAATTTTAAAATGAATTCAATGAGCAGAAAAGTTACCTGAAACTGCAGCTGCCTGATGAGGATTTAATATAAACTGATTTTCTAGATATTTAGGCAAAATTTCAGAAGCACCAATCATAAGTAAAGATTCTGAAGCTTTGGTCAGAGACAGGCATACAAATACTGGCGTCTTTATCAGTATCTGAAAATTTAAAAAGTTATATATGGATTATTTTCTTTACTTTGCTAAAAAGGAACAGCTATCTCACTCTTAGGTTAAAAACCAACCAACAAAAATTTAACATTTCTCAGTGTAAATTGAATTAAAAATATATATATATACACACTGTATGATGCTGTGTTTAATGTGTACTTTATTATCCCAAAGTTTTTAAGGGAAAACTAAGGGTGTACATTATACATAGATAGTACTAATTTGTTTCCATTATAAAAAGTTTTTTATACCTTGTATCTGTTCTTGTGTTTTGTAATTGATTGTTACATAAAATTTCTTGTACCATAGTATATTCAAAATCCAATGCTAAAATTCCTTTATAATATAAAACAAGTATCTAAATCTAAATAAATAAATAAATAATTGGATTTAAAAATTAGAATGAAAGCCTTTTTTCCTGCAAGCATCGGCCAAAAAACATGGGTGTGCATTATACATGGCAAAATATGGCATATAATATATATATACTTATCCAACAGAAATTTCCTATTCACCAATAGACACATACCATGAAAGGCATGGAGGGTTTGAACCATTTTTATTTATAATTTGATGTCCATACCATTTGTAATTTTTATTTGTGAGTCTGGCAGCTTGCCAGAAAGATTAAGAAAAAGTAGATATCATTAACTAGTTGTCTAGATTTTCCCTTAACTTTATTTAGTTTATTTTTTCTTAGCAAATATTTTTATTTAGCTGAAAAATAGACAAAAATAATTTAAGCAATGCTAAAGAAAATTCACTAGGATTGCAGTCAAGTTTCTGGAATATTTTACTACTGTAAATTCTACATACAGAAAAAATAGAGACATTTAAATTCTGCATTTTATCTGATTAATAAATGGACAGAGGACCTGGACATACCTTACATTTCTATGAGGTAAGTGTTGTTATAATAGCAAGTTTTTAGCCAAAGAGAGTGAGGCTCAGAAAGATTAAAATACCATATTTCATTGAATCTAAAATTCCCTCAATTATAAGAGGCACCATTATTTTATGCATTGCTAGGGAAAAATAATACTGTCACTTACACACTATGATACAATGCCTTAAGTAAAATTCACTGCTATGCAGTTATCAATCTCACCAGCTCTTGAAATATATTAGATTTATTAAGAAGTACTTGACACTTATTCCTGATTCATCTGAATAGCCTGGTGTGTGGTAGGTAATCCTTTTGCAGATGTCCCAATAAAAGGACAATAAAATGATCTTTACTGTGAGGATGCTTTCCTTAAGTCCCATAAAACACTTGGATAATACTTTGCAAGAAAATGTGATCAAGTGTTCATTCTTCCAAACAGCAAGTATTTGTTTTACTAATGTCAAAATTATGTCCTATTACTGTCTCTGCCTTTCTACACATATAATAACCTTATAATTCAACACATAAATATTGCATCATCTTTTTAAAGAGTTAAAAAAGCAGTTCCACTCAATATGGGCAACACAACTGAAGTTTATAACTCAAAGTAATAAAAATATGAACAACCATGACAAACTTTGCCCGTACTCAGGCAGTATCTACTATGCCACAATGAGTTCCTGACATAGCTATTTCGAGACTCCATCAATTTAATACCCAACCCAATTTCAAAGGTGTTAAAATGTGAAGGGAAGAAAGTGTGTGTCTTAGAATCAAAGAAATGTGGACATTTGCATAAGGCATCACCAGTAGTAAATGTTATATAATGTCCCCACTGGGTAATCCTACTAGTCATTAAGTCTGTAAAGTGGTCAGAACCTATGGGTTAGGAGGGACCTGATTTACCGTTTGTCTTGTTACTTCTTGGATAAACCATGGATCACAAAGAGAAGGCTGGAGCTGGCTCTCTCTAAGGTTTTTTATCGAAGAAGAAAAGGATGATAACTAGGTGGTCAGTTTCTAGTGTGCAACCCAGCTTTTTGGCTTAGGTGAAAGTAACAGACCCTGACATGGAAAATCTCTCTGCCTATGAGATTATCGTAGAGAAGCATAAGCTCACACTGAACTGTACTGCTTACTCATTCGAAGAAACTCATAGCATCTCTAGCCCTTACCTGATAAGGTATATCTATGAATACCGCTGAACTTGACTCTTCTTGCATGAATCCTTTAATTATTTTCATTGCTTAACTGACTCATAGGTGAACACCAACCTAGTAGGCAAAATTGGCTGACTCCTCTATTATCAGGGAAGACATGCTGGACTTCAACTTCATCAGCGTCATTTCACAGATATGCTCTGCTGAGAAACTTAGCTTTGGCAGGTGCTAAAACCGTGGAACAAACACTGGGAATTTGTCTTAATCTAGTCAGCTCCCTAAATATGACTCATTATCCCTCCGTTTTCTTTCTGAAACTCAACTTGGCACAATGTTAAACGCAAAGCCCTTCTATTGCATCTTAATATTATATGCTGGTGTCTAGAGTTTAGTACATTTGCTTCCCCATATTTTAAGCTATTTATTTATTTATTTATTTATTTATTTTCTAAGGCTCCAGAAGCTCAGATCAAGTTGATACCTGGAAAATTATTTTTATTCTTTTGGTATTCTTACAGAAACCATTGTCAGTAGCCCTGAATTTGATAAATCCCAAGTGATTCTTCAATTGGTTCCTGCAATTGGTATATACTACAGCTGAACAAAAAAAAACAACCACTTATAGTACCCAGGGAAAACTTCCTGAAACAACACCCAAATTGCACTGCATTTTCAATTCTTTTCCCATTGTAATACAATTTTTACACAGGAACATTTAAAATTTATTAAAACAAAATTTATCTTGTGTTCAAATTATTCCCCCACTTAAAGTATATTAGTGACTTCCTATTGCATTAAGAACAAAATCTAAAGTTCTTACCATGTGCCACAAAGACCTTCTTTAACATACCCAAATCTTTGCTGACTTAAGGTGTTTCCACCTGAGTCTCTCAGGCTTGGTATCTAATTAACAACCATTCTTCACATGGATTATTCCTTATCATGCTTTAGCTTCCCCCATTTAAATGTTCCTTGTTCAGTGAAGCCTTTTTTTCCCTCACATCTAAAGTAGGCTTCACAAAGGATTAACTACTGTTAATCAGTTGTTGTTAATCCAGTTTTGATTTTTTTTCTTTTGAAATCTGAGACTCACACAAGACCATATGCTCCACAAAGGCATGGGTGTTAGTTACTATTGTATTGTCAATACCTAACACAGTCATACTATACAATTAAAACAAAAAAACAGGAATAAGTAAAACTAAAATAACATACTTATATTGTATTACTATATGCCAGTTCTAAGCACCTTATATACATAAACACATTTAATTCTAAGCACATATACAAGGTATATACTATTGTAACCATTTTTAATAGAATACAACCTAAGGCATATAAAATAAAAATGCCTTCCAAATTATCTAAGGGCCTTTTTAAATGGTGGACTTTAACAATTGTTAACTCGTACTCACTTAGAAATTAAATGGGTATGGTTCTATCAGGTTTTAATAAAAAATATTTTAAAGAGTGACAAATATTCCAACTTAATTATACACCAATTCTTACTTGAAAGTTGAAAATAAGAATTTCTGAAATTATTGTTTATATAAAGTCCAGGTGGGATTAAAGAAAAACAACCTCACTTTTGACAAATGTTTTGCTCTTGGCCACCTTTGGCAATGTGTTAGGAATATCAAAATGTTATTCATGGTTTTCCTAGCCTTCCTTTCTCCTAGGGAAGGCACCTACCATGCACCAAAGGTACAGGTCAGTGACATATGCAGAGTCTTCTCTGTAATTGTGCTTTCAGAATTAGGGTAAGTAGAAAGATTTCTGATAAATCAGATCAGTGATTCTGAGAGTGTAGTCCTAATTTCCAGAATTTGTAAATGATTGCTAAAAATTTTGCCAGTTTCAGCTACTGTATTTTTAAGGTGAAGATTTTCCAAGCCCCTCACTCTAATATTCTAGAAGTCCCAAGCTTCTAAAATGTTTTAAAAAGTGTTAAGATATCTTCTAGTTACTTACCCAGACAGGTATCAGTCAAAAGTCTAAGGCTGTTAACAAGGCATTATATTTTTTTGTTATCCTAACAATAATCAAAACAGTATTTCCGAGAGAGGTATTGGAATTAGCTTGTTTTTGTTTGTTGCATGGCAGTTATCTTAAAAAAAACTTAAAATGTTCATGTTTAAATTTTCTGAAAAGCATTTTTAACAAATATATCTTAATTTTTAACACTACAAAAGGGGTTACACCTAATTTATTTCTGTATTATTAAAATTCATATATGTAAAATTTTGATAAAATTAAAATTAAATAAAAATCTGAATAAAATATAAATCATTACTAGGAAAGATACATGATTTACTAAAAATATAAACACATGTGTTTGAATGAAAACAAGTAAATAAAATTTGTGATTTTATATAAGAAATCTGTTCATTTTAAGAAGAATTAGACTAATACAATAAAAAGCACTATGTATATGTTTATCCCATATATATGTTATATTTTTCTATACTACATTTTAAACAAATGTCTATGAAAGCAGTAAGAAAGGAGGAAATCATGTAAGATAAGATTTGACAAAGAGTTTTGTTTTTTTTTTAATGGAGAAGAAGTTGAGAGATTAGCATCTACAAAGGTACAGAACTATGAAAGTACCTAATACATCCATTAAAGAGTAAGTGGCTGGAATGTTGGGGAGAGAGGGATAAAATTCTGAAATGAGGTGGGTAAATTCAGTTGATGTTATTGTGAAGGGTAAAAGAGTATGAAATTCATCTACCAAGTAATCTGGAAAATGACTAGATGAAGTCTACATGTGAGAAATACAATTCCACAGGCAACATAAAAGACAAAGTTGTGAATAGAAAACAAATGGAATGCAGAATCATTATATAGAAGTTGGGTGTCTTTAATCCCACTATGTCTGTATTGTACATCTTCTTTCTCACCTACAGTAACAGAGCACTTCTCCATTTGAAATTGAGATAAGATAGCCCTGGCTGGCGTAGCTCAGTGGATTGAGCACAGGCTGCGAACCAAAGTGTCGCAGGTTCGATTCCCAGCCAGGGTACATGCCTGGGTTGCAGGCCATAACCCCCAGCAACCGCACATTGATGTCTCTCTCTCTCTCTCTCTCTCCCCCCCCACCTTCCCTCTCTAAAAATAAATAAATAAAAAATCTTCAAAAAAAAAGAAATTGAGATAAGATATTTTCAATATGTTTGTTAGAATATTTGTTAACTTCTAGATTTCTAAGTTAAACATAATCAGAAGATATATAATGTTAAAACCTATATTTCAGCAGGAAAAAAATAAACACAAAATAATATTAAAAAAAATAGAAAAAAGCACTGGCTGGCATAGCTCAGTGAATTGAGTGTGGCTGCAAACCAAAGCATTGTAAGTTCGATTCCCGGTCAGGACACACGCCTGAGTTGCAGGCCACAGCCCCTAGCAACCACACGTTGATGTTTCTCTCTCTCTCTCTCTCTTTCTCCTGCCCTTCCCTCTCCAAAAACAAATAAAATAAAATCTATAAAAAAAAAGAAAAAGAAAAAGAAAACACTTGGTACCAGTCCCTGACACTAGCCAAGTTCTTGAAAATACTTCTTATGTAAGCTGGGTCTTATTTTTCATTTCCATAAAATAAAGAGGTTAATTAAGGGGAGGGAATTTCAGGGGAAAAGGGTGAACGGTGTGCAGGAACTACTATGAAGGACACATGAACAACAAGGGGGAGTGGAAATGGCAGGGAGGTGGGGAGAGCTGGGGGGGGGGTTGGACTGGGTTGGGGGTAAAAGGCAGAAAACTGTACTTGAACAATTTTTTTTTAAAAAAAGACTTCAAAAGTCCCACTCAGGTATAAGTTGAACAGATTATGATTATTGTCTTAATTCACTATTAGTAAATTTTATGAGTCAACTTAATAGGCTTATTCATGTACATATTTTACTTTACCCAAACAGAAGCAAATAAATCTTTGATACTAGCTTTGGATTCCTGATCTTTGTATTTTCTATCCAACAAATGAAGCTTCTTGTGTTTTCCAGAGTTGATCTTTGCTGTACCTGATGTTAACAAGCAAAAGAAGCTTCTGACATATTCAAATCACAAACACACATATATAAAAAAATAAGCACACGTATACATCCTATAAAACTTAATTTCACTTGAAATGACAAGTGAGCTGTTTTTGAACAAGCTAAAGTCAATCTAATTAAGTAAAACTTACATTTTTCTAATAGCACTATCCTAAAGAACATTCTGTTATAACAAAAAATTTCCATGTCTACACTGTACACTACTGCAGCCATTAAGCATTTGAAATGTAGCTCCTATGACTGAGCAAATGAATTTTTAACATAATTTAGTTTAAAATTTCAATAGTCACATGTGGCCAGTTACCACAGTATTTGACAGCACAGGCCTAAAACGTGGAAGAGTAACCTTTGATATTACTAAAAGTATTTTTTGTCAATGAAATGTTCTACCATTAAGAGAATATTTGATTTCCCTAATGTTACATGTATTTTTAGTGTTTTTAAAAGAATTTCAATAGTTACCATTTTATTTTACAGCTATTCTGTGTGGTAGTACATGGATTAAATAATGCTAAGTAAATAGATGTATATATGTTTCTTTCTTTGAAAAAATATATGAACTCCATACCTAACAGGTTTTTAAAAACTAAATGACAAAAAAACAAAAATATGTGCTAATGAAAGCCTGGTACTTAAATAAAGTAGTATTTGGCCACATGAGGCTCGTTTGTCCAACTAAACCTCTCTCTCACATGTCTCTGCACCTTTACACAGAGAGAAATGCAATTCAGACACATTCTTAGAATGGAAGATGAGGGTGGGATGAGGAACCTACTGTCCTTTAATAATGGGTTGTATCACTACGGTCACCTTGTATGTGCTCTGGAAAGCGTGAAAATGGTACCATTGTGGACCACGCAATGACTGAGACAAAAACAAAACGAATCCACCAAGTCTGCAGCCAGTGTTCATCATTATCACTGTCTTCAACGCTTTAATAAAAACAAATGAAAGATTTCAAGTTTGTGTATTTTATTACAGACAAAGCCGTAATCTAACAGAAAAACAAAAAGGGAGAGAGAAATGAAACATTTTCCATTAATTTGTCCCTTTGTTTGTTTTGCTGAGAATGAATAGTTATGAGGCCTCCAATTATGTTGCTCCCTTTTGTCCTGTATGATCCTAAATATTTCCCTTTTCTTCTTCTCCCCTGTTCACTAAGGTGATGAATAGTAATTCTTCGAATCTTTTTAATGCTTTCTCTCCAACAGAAGCTGTGCACTTGGAAGACTATCCCTTTAAATCCCATCTCTCCTTTAAAATCATTCCTGTCCCTTTAAATCACGCAACTAGACCTTTAGTGAAAACACTCCTTTTAAGTTGTACGGCTATCCCTTTAAATCACATTTATTGTGAACTCTCTTGCTTTTAATCCCTTCTCTGAGCTCTCAGGCTAAGACTGAGTTACCCTTCTAATGATCATAACTGCTCACTCTCAGGACCCTTTGTCAAGCCATTGTCTTCCTACTTCCCTGCAGTTTGTCTTGCTGTACCTTTGTAAACCACAAAGCCTCACAGAGGGCAGAGTGGGATGGGAATGTTAAAGTCCTGTGCTGGGATTTTAAAATTTGCTCTTTTAATTCCCACTTATTTCACAATATTAGCACTTTTTTTTTTGTCTCAAAGAATGACTTTGTGGAAAAGTTTCATAGTGTGAAGTTATTTGGTGTCATTTAGGGTGGAGATTTAGGAAAGTTGATTACTACATAATTACCATCTCCTTCAGTTTCACAGACCTGTAAGACCTTGTCCAACCAGCCATTGTGGGAAAAGGCCCACATCCTCAGGAACTACAGTTTTGGAAGTGCTGGTTTCTCACTAGTGACTCTACTGCCAACAGACACCCGAGGAGTAGCTTGCTTATAGGCCTTGTCTCTCAGAGAGTGTGGAGAATATTCTGTTTTATTGATGGGCCAACTCCTTATCCATTGCTACGTTATTCAGGGATACTAATTCCAAAGTGCAGTGACACAGGGTTCCAATTTTGACTTCCATTATCCTGTGGGCACATGCTATGCCTAAAGAGTTTTGACTTCAGACTCTCTCTAGAGGTATGAGTTTCCTCAATAATTATAATTTTCAGAAATTTTGTTTTCACTTTTGAACCCAGTTGTATTATACTGGATTCAGTATAATATTGCATACTATGCATTATATTGCATATAATATGATTATTACCTTTGTATAACTAATTGAGTGCCTGAAATTTAAGGCAAATAAACTTTTATATGCATTATATTGCATATAATATGATTCTTACATTTGTGTAAGTAATTGAGTGCCAGAAATTTAAGGAAAATAAACTTTAAAAACTACAAAGCATAAGCAAATAATTTAATAATGTAACATATATATGACAAACTTAGAAATCAATGATTTCCTCCTCATACAAATAAATGATTAGTAAATGCAATAATACAAATATTCCATGCAAAAACTAACAAAATATATAAAGTCAGGAAGAATAAGCTTAATAGGATATCTTCAATAAAGAAAATCATGAAACTTCATTGAAGGACATAAACCTAAGTGCCCATCAGTAAATGAGTGGATCAAAACACTATGGTACATTTACACAATGGAATACTACTACACAGAAAGAAGGACGGAGTCCCTACCCTTTGCTACATACAGCATGGATGGAACTGGAGAACATTATGCTAAGTGAAATAAGCCAGGCACTGAAAGACAAATACCATATGATCTCACCTATAAATGGAACCTAATGCACAAAACAAAGCAAGCAAAATATAACCAGAGCGGAGAGGGCAATAACAGGGGAAAGATGGGGAAGGGTCATCAAAGAACATGTATAAATGACCCAGGGACAAAGCCAAAACGTGATAGGAATGAGGGTGGGAGGTGAGAGTGGGTGTGGTGGGGAGAGTATTGGGAAGAAAATGGAGACAACTGCAATTGAACAATAATAAAAAAAAAACCTATCAGAATAAAAGCAGAGAGAAAAGAGCAACATACCACATTCTTGCATGGAAAGATAACAATTATTCTCAATTTGACACATAAATTTAAATAATTCAAATCAAAATGCTTGAATTATAACCTAAGATTATCAAATATATCTAGAAAGTAATTTTGCAAAACAGCCCCTGATATTTAATGGATAGTAATGAATAGGGACTTATTCAACCAAATTGAAAATCATGATAAAGCTTTAGTTACTAAGTGTAACTATTTATGTTTAGTTAAATTAGTTATTTTATTTAGTTATTAAAACATTGGAGTATTGGCACGAAATAGAAGAATATATCAGAGAATAGATTAGATAGATAAGAAAAAAACTCATACTTACAGGGAAATTTAATTTATGATAAAGATGGTATTTAATATCACTAAAAATAAATTAATTTAAAAAATGAAATTACCTAAACTGTCATTAGTACAATTAGATATCCCTTTGAGAAAACAAATAGAATATTGGCCCTTGCATTGTATTATATGCAATAGTAAATTTTAATTGGAAGTTAAATTTAAATGTACAGTGAAAATAAAACAAGAATGCTAGGAGAAAAGAAAATGAAAGGTAAATTTTCCTGATGAACACAGATGCAAAAACCTCAACAAAATCTTAGCAGACCTAATTTAACAAAACATTAAAAGGATTATAACACTGTGATGAAGAAGAATTTATCCCAGAAATGCAAGACTGGTTCAATGTCCATAAATCAATCAATGTGATAATGAAAGATAAAAATTATATGCTCATGTCAACTGATGCAGAAAAGCATTTGACAAAATTCAAAGTCCATTCATGATGAAAACCCTCAAAAGAATGGGTATAGATAAAACATACTTCAACATAATAAAGTCCATATATGACAAGTTCATAGCTAATGTCGTACTCTATGGTAAAATGGAACCTTTTCTTCTAAGATCAAGAACAAGACAAGAATGCCCAGTCTCCACTTTTATTCAACATAGGACTGGCAGTACTAGTCAGAGTGATTAGGGAAAAAGAAGGAGGAGGAGTGGGGGGAGGAGGACATGGTGTAGGTGGAGGGGCAAGGGAGAAAGGGGAGGAGAGGGGGGAGGAGGAGGAGAAGAAATGGAATCCATAACAGAAAGGAATAAGTAAAATTGGCTTTGTTTTAAGATGTTATGGATACTATACATAGAAAGCCCCAAAGACTGCACCGAAAACATCTGCTCATGGCACCAATCCATACACCATTCTATCAAGCCAGCTACTTCTGGATGTTGGGGGCAGAGAGTAAGATCAGTGAATTCTAGAGTTATCATACTGTCACACTTCCTTTGTCTTATCACATGTTCCCTAGTCAGAGACAACATTGTATGAGAAACCACAGGGATGGATGTGCTTTATTAAAACAAACAGGACTGCATCAAACACAAAAACTACACAGCATTTCTCTGATGATTAGTGACATTGAACATCTTTTCATGTCTATTGTACATCTGTATGTCCTCTTTGGAGAAGTGTCTCCACTTCAGGTCCTTTGTCCATTATTTAATTGGATTGTTTGTTTTCTTGGTGTTGAGTTGTATAAGCTCTTCATATGAAACAAAGAAGCAAGCAAAATACAACCAGAGACATTGAAGTTAAGAACAAACTGACAGTAACTAGAGGGGAGTAGGGAGGGGATAATGAGGAAGAAAAAAGGGAAAGGGTTGTCAAGAAACATGTATAAAGGACACATGGATAAAGCCAAAGGGAGTAGGATCTAGGGTGGGAGGTGGGGATAGGTGGGGTGCGGGGATTGGGAGTTAGAAATGGAGACAACTGTACTTGAACAACAATAAAAAATAAATTAAAAAAGAAAAAAAAAGAAAATCTGAAAAAATAAATAAATTTTGGATATTAGCTCCTTATCAGATGTATCATTGGTGCATATATTCTCTAATTCAGTGGATTATCTTGTCATTTTGTTAATGGTTTCCTTTGCTGTGCAAAAATTTGCTGTGGTCCCATTTGTTTATTTTTTCTTTTGTTTCCCTCGCTCAAGAATATACATCAGAAAAAATATTTCTCAAGAAATGTCTGAACACACAATGAAATATACAGATGATGTATTATGTAGTTGTACACTTGAGACCTATATAATTTTATTAACCAATTTCTCCCCAACAAATATAATAAAAAGATAAAATAAAACAAATAAATACAAAGCAAAGGAAACAGTCAAGGGAGTGAAAAGGCAAACTATTAGATGGGAGAAAATATTTGCAAATTGTGTATCTGATAAATTGATAATATCCAGAATACATTTTTTTAGATTTTTATTTATTTATTTTTAGAGAAAGGGGAAGGGAGAGAGAAAGAGAAGGAGAGAAACATCAATGTGTAGTTGCCTCTTATGTGGCCCCCACTGGGTACCTGGCTGCAAACCCAGCATGTGCCCTGACTGGGAATGGATCCAGCGACCCTTTGGTTCACAGCCCACGCTCAATCCACTGAGCTACACCAGCCAGGGCAGAATACATTTTTAAAAACTCCTTCAATTCAACAACAAAATCTGATTTAAAAATGGTCATGAAAACTGAAATAGATAGTTCACCACAGAAAAATTACTGATTGACAAGAGGTATAGGAAAGGATGTCCAACATCACTAAATATGAAGGAAGTGAAAATAAAAGCCACAACAAAATATCAATTTACACTTATTAGGATGGCTGTTACCAAATAACAAAACAAAACAGAAAATAAACATTGGCAAAGATGTTGTAAAACTGGAAACCTTATGCATTATTGGTGGGAATGTAAAATAGTGCAGCCACTACAGAAAAGAGTATAAAAGTTTCTCAAAAAAAAAAAAAAGAATTACCAAGTGGCCTAGCAATTTGCCATTTCTGGGTATATATCAAAAAGGACTGAAAGCAGAATCTCAAAGAGATGTTTGCACACCCATGTTAATTACAGAATCATTCACAATAGCTACAAGTTGGAAGTAACCTAATGTCCATTGATGGAGTAATGGGTAAAGAAAATGTGGTATATACATGCAATGGAATGTTATTCAGCCTTAAACAAGAAGGAATACTATCATATGCTACAACAGGGGTGAGACTTGAGAACATCATGCTAAGTGAATGAAGTATCTAAAGTAGTCAAGTTTAGAAAGTAGTGTGGTAATTGCCAGGAGCTGGGGAGAAGGGGAAAAAGGGAAGTCAAGCAATGGATACAGCATTTCAGTTTAGGAAGAAAAAAATTTCTAAATATCTGTTTCACAATAATGTTCATAGTGTTAACACTACTGCACTATACACTTACAACTGGTTAGGATGGTAAACTTTATATTACATATTCTTTACTAGAAGTGTTATAAAAACTGTGTGCAGAATTAGTAGCAAGGTTGCTATTACAAGTGGTGTTTTTAAAATTATATTTCAAGCAGTAATGCTAAAAATGTACATTTGGACATATTTATATGAACATATATGTACATATCAGGCACATTTACATATATTTTTCTAAAATATGGTTAACAAATTAAATGTCTACATTTATAAATCAAAGTATCCAATATTTTACACAATGTAGACAAAAAGGGAAAGAAAATAGCTTACCTGTTATCAAAAGTACTATTCTCAGAGTTCTCATTTATGGGTGCTGCTATGGCATATCCTAAAGCATATCCAACTGACACTGAAGCATCTGCAAGGCCTATAAAATGAATACTGAACATCAAACAACTGTATAAGCCAGCTATGTCATAAGATAATAAAAGGCTACATCACGAAAATGAATCCTTTGTGAAAGCTTCACAGCACACTTTATTAGTCAGGATTTCCAGAGCCATTCAGGTGAACAAATAAGATATTTAGAGTACGAGATTTTAAAGATTGGCTTCTGCAATTGTGTGGGCTGGCAAGTCCAAATTTGAATGACAGGCTGGAAGGTTGGAAATCCAGGTAAGAGTTAATGTTACAGTCTTGAGTGCATAATTAAGTCGAAATCCACAGGGCAGACCAGAGGGCTGGGAAAACTCAGAGTTTCGCTGTTGTAGTCTGGAAACATTTATTTCTTTTTTTGGAAAACATCAGTCTTTATTCTAAAGGCTTCAACTGACTGAATGGGCCTTATGCACATTCTGGAGGTTAATCTCTTTACTCAAAGCCTGCTGGTTGTAACTGTTAGTCACATCTAGAAAATATTACAGAAACATGTAGACTCTTGTTTAACCAAACAACTTGCTCCCATAACTATGCCACGTTTACACATAAAATTAACCATCATACATATTATCCAATGTGTGTATTAGAAAAACTCAGATACTTTAATCATATAATTAACTGTACTTTGGTTAATCTATATATTTAATGTAATATAAATAAATATATTTATATTTAATATAAATATGAATTCAATATACCTTCTTTCACTTTAATTTGTGGAACTAAAATAAGATGATACTTTATGATGATACATTATCATCACCTTTGCATCTTTCATCTTAGCTGCTAGAGTGACAAGAGGTGGCAATAAAATCAGCTTCTCTTCACAGTATATAGATGTGTGTTTTAATTATTATTTAGTAGAACCAAGTGTAAAACAAAGATATTTGTTTCCACCTCACATGAGACCAATAAACCACTGCTAGATTTTTTTCTAAAAGCAAACATATATATTAATGTCATCTAATTTAGCTTATTGGCATGACTTTCCTTACCTCTGATGAAAAAATTATTATTTTGGTTCAAAATGCTATTGTCTTTTAAGTCATCTTCACAATAAGTATAGAAAAACAATTTTATTTTTTCTTTAAAAACTGGTAGTTAAATAACCCTGTACAAATAAATGACCCACCAGGACTAGAAGCTATTGCAATATAAGGAAATTCAGATTATTCTGAGTTGTACCCTGGCATCAGTTTTTGTAGGATACAGTAGCATAAAACAGTGTAAATGGAGGATACTACACTGTGGTCAATTAAGTAACATATCACTCCTCTCCTGGAAGGGATGAACCAGGTTGTACTGATTAACTACAAAATATAAGAGCCCCCCAAAAGACCAGGTTAATATATGGAAAGAACAAATACAATGATGACTATTTTGGCACCACAGTACTGAAGAGGAATAACACAATGTTTCCATCTTTCATATTTCCAATATGATGGCAGCAACTTCCCACACATATCCCCAAAGGTTAAGCATGTAACTACTCAGGAGAGTCAACCTGGTAATTTAAAGATTTTTTTCTAGAAAAATGAACTACATACAGCCTATATAATTTGATATGACATACACTCACATGTGTGTGTATATACATATATTCATGTGTGTGTGTGCAGTATATTTAGAAAGAGTACAGTTTTTATTACTCAAGAATGCATTTGCTCTATATCTTTTAGGGTGGCCTTCAGATGACTTGTCTATAATTCCAAATCTCAAGCAGATCTTCAGAATCAAGCAGCTCAATGTGATTTTGAAGTTAGGCATACCAGTTAGCACTCATTCCAATATTATTATAAGAACCAATAATTAGCACTTGCGTATCAGTTTAAATATGCACACCAAAAAAATACAGAATCTCAATAAAACTTCAGAATGGGTAAATCATATTAGAAAGGAAAAAAAAACTTGCCTAAATAAATACCAGCTGAGTGTGTGGCAACGTTCTCATGAATAAAGTTGATTCCGAGGATATAAAGAGGCATTCCTGCTATTCCCTGCACAGTCTGCCCAAGGAGGAAGAAAGATACATATTTTGATTGAAATGATATGTGTTTCTTGCAAGCTTTCATAACCTTCGCTTCTTTGCAAATATCTTTGAAGAGATAATTTTAATTTTTTGTTAAATGAGTCAAAACTTATACAACAAATATACAGTATCTTTTATGAAATATTTTACCTTTTATAAGCTATAATCAAGATGACTTAAAGACACAAAGGGAGGTAGATTGTCCTATTTCTACTCTCATGGCTCCTATTGAATGCAAATCAAGGACTATATTAAATATGTCTCAAGCAGTGCTTCCTAATTTCTCATCCTTTCTGACCAAGACAGGATAAAGGGAAGAATAGGAATGATGTGGTTTTCATTCCCTTCTTCCCATAAATCACCTTCTCGCTCAATTAGCTGTCCATTCAACAAATACGATAAGTATATTAAAATATATTCTATAAATAAATATTTTCATTTGAAATATTTATATTCCACACATACTATACATTATAAATATATGAGCATAGTATATAGTCCATTTATTGATACAATGTCTATCAGAATATTAACGCAAGATTTTATAGTATATAACTATTGATTATGTTCATTTAGTTCTAGATTAATATGAATTATTTTATTTACATTGTAAATACACATTATGAACATACATTTTAAACATCATAAGCTTATACATATACACACACACAGAGACACCTTCATGTGTTTTTCCATCATGTCCTGCTAAATCCCAGTTTAAAGATGCCAAAATCAGTGGACACATTCCAACACTTTCATAAGCCTATTCACAACAGAAAAGTAGTGAATAGGGTCAGAAATAGTACTACGAAACTTCAAATAGCCTTTAGTAACTGGGAGTCACAAAAAGATTGTGGAATGAGTTTTTGACAAAGGACAAAGTGAGGAAGCCACCAATCATTTTAGATTCAAAGCCCTAGGTCAAAGGGCAGGCTCATTAGTAGCTAGAAAATGTCTGATCTTTTCCTGTGTGTGTTCAGGTTTTTTTTAATTTTTTTATTTCTTTATTTTTAGAGAGAGAAGGGAAGGAGAAAGACAGAGAGAGAGAAACATCAATGTGCGGTTGCTGGGGGCCGAGGCCTTCAATCCAGGCATGTGTCATGACTGGGAATTGAACCTATGATGCTTTGGTTCACAGCCTGCATTCAAGCCACTGAGCTATGCCAGCCAGGGGAGGTTTTGTTTTTTTTTTAAATGGTTGTATTTGTGCTGTATGCATGTGTTTTGAAGTCAAAATTAAGAGATTAATTAAAGCATATTGTGGAAGACATAGAGAATTACTGAAGTTCTCAAAAGATTTAAATACAGAAATAGATAAAAGAAAAACAATTTTACAAAATAATTTTCCCCAAATATTCTTTCTTCTTCCTAGGCCCATCTCTTACATGAAGGGGAATATGATCATGAGAAGTTGAGAGAATGGGTATACATTACAATTGTAACAAGGGAGTTACAATTACTTAGTTTAATAAACTTGGTCATATAAATAGATACAGATGGATGGATGTACAGACAGACAAGTATCATAGTCTAAATTCCTACAGGCAATGATTTAAATAATTAATGATTTGAAGTATGGCAGTGTCATTTAAATCTTACCTTCAGTTGCAATATCCAGGTCATAATTTTCACCAATAGTGTAAGGAAAAGCACATAAAAGTGATCCAAGTCCTACTAAAAAGGAGGAAAATATAATCCACTTTAGTATGTTTCCTTTCCCTCCATAGTATGATATAAACAGGACTACCAGGAAAGACGAAATATCATAAGTTGAGGACAACAACATAGCCTCAGTGGTTTTCAGACGGTTGCCAGTCTCAAGCGTGTTGATACTCAGAATTACAAGACCAAACACCATACCTCAAAGAGAAAAGAAAAAAGAAAGAAACAACATGCATTTTAACAGACAAATATATCACTATTATAATCATTGCAGAGCAAAACTTAATTTACAGTGATTTAACTTTATTTCACACTGTTCAGAATGTTAAAGATTTATGAGCATATAAGGATTCCCTTTTTAAAAACACTAATAGGCCTTAACCTCTATGAAATAGTTGCTAATGGAATATTATAAATGGCCATTTTTAAAAACTACGTTCACGAGTAATTTACTGAAGAGTATGATCTTTTTATCATCTCAGTACTAATATTTACTTTGATGTATATTTTGGTTAGATGAGTAAAAATGAATAATTAACAATTTAATATCTACCATCCAGAACAGAAAATAAAATGTTATCAAAAGTTTAAAAAAATAGCTGAAGCCCAACATGTACTCCCCAAACATGTTCTACTTTCTCCCTCTGTAACACATGTCCTATCCTTGAAGTTCACCATTTCCTAGCCTTCTTAACACTTTTTTGAAAATATATACATCCTTGGACAATACAGAGTATTGTTTGTCATGTTCTTGAGCATTAAATAAATGTTCACTCAGCATCCAGCTGGGAAAAAAATAATCATTCTAAACGTTGTGTTTTCTTTTAAGGAAATTGACAGAGAGGTTGGTTACAAAGTATTGCATTTGTTGGATTGGAAAGGGGAAATAGTTGTTAATCAAAACTCATGATATCCAATGTTACTAAAGTTGCTGGTGCATGGGCAGCTGCGGGGTCCACTGCTGCTCCTGCTGCTCTTCCAGTTCCCAGAGACAGCCCCTGAGCACTGTGCTGCTGAGTCATCCACCCTTGCTGCTGGCACAGCTGCATTGATTACTGACTAAATCCTGGAGCCTTCTCAACCCCAGGATTACTGTTGTTGTTAAAAATATCACCAGAAACAGGGACCAGAAAACAAAAAACAAACAAATGAAAAATAGGCTTCCCTTTGTTCCTTTTTCAAATCTGCTACAGCTTCTCACTGGTAACACCTAGGTGAAGCTAACTGGCAAGGAAATCTGGGAAATGTAGTTTACTGGCTGCCAGTCTCTTACCAAACAGGAATGAGTCCAAAAGGGGAGCAATGGAGTTTATGGCCAACAGACAAACAACTTGCAAAGTTCACATTTTAGACCACTCAGGATATATTTTCACCCTTTTCCCCATATTTACATTTCCATAGCAAATTAATAGCAACAACACCATCATGCATCTTCCTAATGTGTTTCAATTATTCTTACAAAAACCATCTTACTCTTTCCCTAAAAATGGGAGGTACATAGTTCAATCAGTTATAGTATCCATATCAAGGCAATGTTATTCTTCTAGTTTAATCACACACATGAATGGATTTTTTAACATAAAAACTAATTTGCAAAGGTATAAATGGCATAGAAAAGTATAAAAGTTATAAATAAGTAATTAAGCAAACATATAATAGGCCTAATTAAATTTGTGAGGGAATTATATTGCAAGACACCATAAATCCAACTTAGAACCACAAGAATTGAACAGTCCAAGAGTGGCAGAAAACAAGACATAAATACTTTGCTGCATCCAAGAGAACAATGTTTTCAATTTTCATTTCATTTTATTTATTCATTTGTTAAGAACTATCATTTTAGATATGGCGAAGAAGGAATTATCCCAGGCAAAAATGTCCTGTCAGTAACTATGTCCAGCTCTGGGGTTCGGGTATTAATTCCCCATCTAATTCAGGAATATCCTTTAACCTAGAGATGAAATTGTCAAGTTATAGCACATGGTACCCTTTTATAAAATAGTACAGAAAGGGAAGTGAAAAAATAAAAAGTTGGAATACACACACAAATGGACTGTGTATATACCTAAAAAAACGAGAAAGAAAAATGCATAGTTTCTACAGTTTTTATTTCTCTAAGCAGTTATGAGACATAGTTGATATTTATAACCTCCTTCTTCCTTATTCACTTCCTCTTCTACCTCTGAACCCACATAACATATACATTATTACAAAGCATATACTTCACCTTATAGGACAGCACCCCAAACTTTTTGATGGTTGTCTCCTAGCTGAAGGCCTATCTGAATCTTCAGTAGGACATTATAATTATCTACAAGGCCAAGAGTTTCTCATTACTGAGATACAGAGAAAGATCAGTGAATTCCATAAATACAAACTCTTTGAATGTATTTCTTTTGCTATAAAATGAATTTATTCATTAAAGGCAATGTAATAAATAAGATGATCACAATGGTATTTAAGGCATTTGTGAGGTCCAATTATAGTTGTTTTTTGGCAGAAATATGGTGATAAAAGAATCCATATTCAAAACAAATATCTGTTCCAATGAGAAGCAATTATTGTCCATGCCATAATAAAAGCAGATGATGCAATCGATTTGCCTCCAGGTAGCTGATTGATTTCATCAGGAATGGAGCCATTTCCTGGATTGTGATGACTCTTCCTGATTGGTAAGTCAGGCACTCAGTACAATAGCCAGATCACCTCCAGTGAAGATAAATCTATGGATTCAGCTCTTGCATAAACTCCATGCTTGATGCAATTGAACATGAGCTCATTGAACAAGACATACAATGGTTGGGAAAAGGGGCTGGCTCATATTCACAGGATGGTTATCTATGTACTTCATTACTGAGAGCTTCACCTACAATGGATTTCTTTGGTGAACATTTGCAAAGGGTAACTCTGCCCATTCAGAGACACCATGTATCTGGCCCTCCTAGTCATTATTGGGCAATGGCAGCATGGTATCTAGGAAATACAGACAATCAAATTATACTGCTCAACGTTCTGCCCACTGGGAGGATTTCCTGTTTGCTCAGTTTTTCAGGGACACCTCTGAGTGGGACTATTATGTTACAATAGCATACTTCCACCTTCAAAAACCACAGGCACAAAAGATTATGCTTCTTTCTTAGTAGTGAGTGGTACAAAGAAAATTTTCCTGTATGTTAGAAGAGGTAGCCCTGCATACTCCAAACCAACTGGTCCCTAGAGACGTCACTGAAGTGGCAGGAAAATTTTGGATGTTGAAGACATTATCTCCCAGGGCAGACTTCAGGTAAGTCATTCTGAGAAGGCTGGGATCTGAGTCTAGTTATGAGTGTGACAGCAGTAAGGGGTGGTGAGATGGGTCATGAGGGCAACCCACGCTCCCTTAACTCAGGTAAGACAATTTCATGTTTTCAAGCAGGGAATTGCTTTTTCCTCAGTTATAGCAAGAAAAGTTGCTCCTACTGGGAAAGGAGATTTGGAATTTCAGGACTGATGGTCCTCAGAATCACCGAATTCCACCAAATGCTTTCATCCCAATTCTCAGGGTCAAACAATGCCCCAACTCTCACATGCGTGGTCTTATGAATCCATGAATTCAACTTGTATTGTAACTCTACAACCATGAATTAGGGTTGGTATGGTACTATTCAAAATATGCAGTATGTGGCTAAAAGTGATGAGATTCTCTTACAACCATCGGAGAAGCTCACACGTTTTCTAATGATGCCCTAATTTTCTTCCTGTAAACTTTCCCGCACAGTCAGAAGGACTCAGTCAGTCAACCCCAGAATCTTTGTAGTCTAAGGTTCCACCATAGAAGTCAACTGCAGAAGCTGTTGGTCTTCCAAAGGCTTGCTTTCAATACGACTTTATCTCAGGCAACATTTGAAATAACTCTTTTGTCAGCATATGCCATGGAGTACCCAGTGTACCATATTCCACAGGCACGAATAGTGTTTTTACTGCTTTCAAGCCCAATTAGGTCAGATGACCAATCCAGATTCCCATCTTTGAGGGCTGGTTTGTTTGTTTTGTCCTAATTCAATGCTTGGTATGAAGAAGTACTATATAAAAAATTATATGATTTTTGCGATTTATAGGTCAATTAGTTTAATTACATTGGTGAAGCTAAAAGTTTAGTCAAAAACTTTTCAAACATTTTCATATCTCAAAATATTTTTACAAGGAATATTATTTGATACATACATTAATCAATTTCTTAGTCATGGTTCTCTCTAATGAAATGTTATGAATATTTATCTGAAGAATAGATATTTTAATATGATCCCATTTCTAACAGTTCTCATGAATTTAGTTACAATCCATCAAAGCTGCTTTTTGTAGTTCCACAGCAAAAGTTGACTCAGCCAGACTCGCTTGCTCAAACCACACCTGTCTCGAGACTGACTTCTGGCTCCTGGAATCCTCCAAGCCCTCCAGTATTCTGCCTCAGAAGAGTGCTTTTATATGCTTGAAGCCTTGGGCCACACAGTGCCAATCAGATCAGGTAGTTTATACTAACAGGGTGGTTTAAGGTGAATATCTGTTGTATGCCTGAGGCTGTGTCAGTTTAATTAGCTTATGTTAACAATATATTTAGGTTTTGAACACCTTGTTTGCTGGGGCGGAACATGAGGGAAAGTATTGAGGTCTGAGTAGCTAAAGTCAGTCACACAGATGCTGCATGCTACGTGACTCACCCTCCTGCCAAATATCTTGGACATTGAGGCTCATGTGAACTTCCTTGGTCAGAAACTCTTTGCATGTGCTGAAAAATTAAGCATATCTACGTTTCCCGACTAGGAAAGGACATATGGAAGCTAGGGCATTGTTTCTTCTAGATGTTATCCCACGTGCCTTTTTTCTTTGCTGATTTTATCCTTGTACTTTAATAAATCATAGCATGAGTACAACATCATTCTCTGGGTCATCAGTCCTTCTATTGAATCATTCAGTCTGAGTGAAGTCATATGGACATACAATATACTAGTAAACAAATTTGAAGTTTGTTAAGGCCTCCTAAAGACTCTTCACTGTAGATTATAATATTTTAATTGAGAAAATACTTTCTACAATTTTGTATCTATGAAAACACTACTAAATAGTGTTCCTGTCCTGTTTTATACTGAAATATTTCACATGAAAATCATTCATAGAATCTTTCTTTGACACATACTTTAAAATCTCTTCAATACATTGTC